CTGCGCTCCGAAAATGCTCTCAGCACCATGCACAATCCCGCAGCGGCACCTCTCAACGCTGCGCGCGAAGAAGGAAAAGAAGAAAAGGAAAGAAAAGATTGTGGCCGATTGTTTGCTCTCTCTCAAATGCCGATCTGCGACACGCCTGTGCCATGCTTCTCCCTTTTCTGTCTCTGCACGTAGAGACCCTTCTCCTTTCAAGGCAGCGCGCATAGAAAGAGGGGGAAAAAAAGCTGTCGCAGAGAGTATTCCTTTCTTGGGGCAGAGGGAAGCAGCCATGGTAGCGGCGGAGACGCAGTCGTTGCCGTCTTGAGAGGGAAATCGCTTTGCACCGCGGTGCTGCTTCTCGATAGTTATAGCGCGAGAACAAAACGACGACACAGAGACAAGAAGGACACGTTTTGTTCTCGCGCTATAACTATCGTAATGCCATACCAACTAGCCCAAGCTGCCACACTTCTAAGCTGCTTCTCGGTCATATGACCCACTGAGTGCTTCCTCAATCCTTTCCACTGGCTGTATGAGGAGGACGGCTCTCTCGACTGTGCCTGGCGTGACTGTAAGGTCGGCGCAGGAGTTTTGAAATAGCTGCGCTGAACAAGTGTCAAACTCCGCAGAAAACGATATACTTAATACACTATAGTTGGGCTTTTTTATGGACTATTTGATAGACTAATTTAGTTCGGTGTATCGGGGGTAATCAGCAGAAATCTCATTTCATTAAAACATTTTTATAAAAATAACCACAAACATGACTGATACACCGCTGAAACCTACATTTAGAACATAACCGCGTGTTCCCTCGCTCAGAGGAGGAGGGTGGCTCACTGCTCGGGAGAAAGGTACGCCCGTCAGATCAAAGTTTTGAACCACGTGTTTTTTTCTTTCTTTTTTTTCCCTTACGCTCGCTTTTAACTTTGCTAATAACCTACCGGGAAACTTCTAACTCATACAGTGCAAAGCCCTAATTGTAGACCTGTCGCCGCTCAGGTTTCATCAGGACAGGAGTAATAGTACCGGAACTATATTGTGACCAAAATTAAGCCTAACGACTAAAAAGATTAGTTTGGTAACATCACCTCACAAACGAATTAAAATTTTGTCCACTTAATATATTAATAAACAGCACCCCATAGGCTAATCGAAGGCCCAACTCCGTACTCTCTAGACCCTTAATTAAGGGGGTAATCAGCAGAAATCTCATTTCATTAAAACTTTTTTTTATAAAAATAACCACAAACTTGACTGATACACCGCTGAAACCTACATTTAGAACATAACAATCCGGGTGCGGCGATGGCGTAGTGGTTAGAGCATCCGCCTCGTATGCAAGAGGTCCGTGGTTCAAATCCCGGTGCCGCGCAGTTCCCAACCGGAAAAAAAATCCGCGTGTTGATGGAACTGCATTAAGAGGCCTGGGGTGCGGCCTCACCGGTAACCACCGCCGGGAACGCACTCCCTCACCAGAGAAGGATTGGCCACCCTGGTGCAGTATCTGGCCACTACCTCCCACATGCATACGTCAAATAACTCACGGCCCTCAGTTCCCAGCAGCTGCGAAGCAACTGACCATGGCGGCGGTCAGATCTGCAACGCAGCAGAGGGTGCTAAGAATCTCTGGACTACAGGCCGCCTTTGGAACCTGAACTTGGCAACGTTTAACGCTAGACCCTTATCTAGTGAGGGAAGTCTAGCTGTACTATTCGAGGAGCTAGAGGGTGTTAAATGGGATATAATATAGCTCAGTGAGGTTAGGAGAACAGATGAGGCCTATACTGTGCTACAGAATGGGCACGTCCTTTGCTATCGGGGCTTGGCAGACAGAAGAGAACTGGGAGTGGGGCTTCTAATTCACAGAAACATAGCTGGCAACATAGAGGAATACTATAGCAATAATGAAAGGGTGGTAGGTATTGTAATTAAACTTAATAAAAGATACAAGATGAAGGTAGTACAGGCATACGCGCCTACATCCAGCCATGATGACGCTTCAGTTGAAAGCTTCTATGAAGACGTGGAATCGGCAATGAGTAAGGTAAAAACACAGTATACTATAGTGATGGGCAACTTTAATGCAAAGGTAGGGAAGAAGCAGGCTGGAGACCAGGCAGTAGGAGATTATGGCATCGGCACTTGAAACGCCAGAGGAGAGCTACTAGTAGAATTCGCAGAACGCAATAATTTGCGGATTTTGAATACTTTCTACCGAAAACGAGAAAACCGCAAGTGGACATGGAGGAGCCCTAATGGCGAAAATAAGAACGAAATAGACTTTATAATTACTGCACACCCAGGAATTGTGCAGGATGTGGAAGTGGTTGGCAAGGTACGATGCAGTGACCATAGAATGGTACGGTCTCGAATTCGCCTAGACTTGAAGAAGGAACGACAGAAACTGATACGCAAGAAGCCAATCAATGAGCTATCACTGAGAGGGAAAGTACAGGAATTCAGAGTGTCGCTGCAGAACAGGTACTCGGCTCTTAGTGAGAAAACCAACCTTAGCGTAGATACAATGAATGATAATCTAACGAGTATCATTACGGAGTGTGCAGTGGAAGTTGGAGGCAGGGTAGTTAGACAGGACGCTGGCAAGCTTTCCCAGGAAACGAAGAACCTAATTAAGAAGCGTCAAAGCATGAAAGTGTCAAGTACAACAGACAAAATAGAACTGGCAGAGCTTTCGAAGTTGATTATTAGGCGTAAAGTATGCGATGTAAGAAGGTATAACATGGAGAGAATTGAACACGCTCTGAAAAACGGAGGAAGCGTCAAAGCAGTGAAGAGGAAACTTGGGATAGGCAAAAGTCGGATGTATGCACTAAGGGACAAAGAAGGCAAAATAATTACCAATATGGATAGGATAGTTAAAATAGCGGAGGAGTTTTACAGAGATCTGTACAGTAGCCGAGACAACCACGACCTTAATACTATAAGAACTAGCAGTAACCCAGACAACACCCCACCAGTAATGACAGAAGAAGTCGGAAAAGCTTTGGAGAGCATGCAAAGAGGCAAAGCTGCTGGTGAGGATCAGGTAACATCAGATCTGCTGAAAGATGGAGGACAGATTGTGTTAGAAAAACTAGCCACCCTGTTTACGAGGTGTCTCCTGACGGGAAGGGTACCAGAGTCTTGGAAGAACGCTAACATCATCTTAATACATAAGAAAGGAGATGACAAGGACTTGAAGAATTACAGGCCGATCAGTTTGCTCTCTGTAGTATACAAGCTATTTACAAAGGTAATTGCTAACAGAGTAAAGAAAACATTAGAATTCAATCAACCAAAGGAACAAGCAGGATTTCGAACAGGCTACTCAACAATTGACCACATTCATACTATCAATCAGGTAATAGAGAAATGCTCAGAGTATAACCAACCACTATACATAGCCTTCATAGATTACGAGAAGGCGTTTGATTCAGTAGAAATATCAGCCGTCATGCAGACACTGCGGAATCAGGGCGTAGATGACGTATATATAAACATTCTGGAAGAAATCTACAGGGGATCAACTGCTACCATAGTGCTTCATGAAGAAAGCAACAGAATACCAATCAAGAAGGGTGTAAGGCAGGGGGACACAATCTCCCCAATGCTATTTACCGCGTGCTTACAGGAGGTTTTCAGAAGCCTAGAATGGGAACAGTTAGGGATAAGAGTTGATGGAGAATACCTTAGTAACCTGCGCTTCGCCGATGACATTGCATTGCTGAGTAACTCAGGGGACGGATTGCAACTCATCATTACGGGGTTAGACAAGGACAGCAGAAAGGTGGGTGTTAAAATAAATCTGCAGAAAACGAAAGTAATGTACAACAACCTCGGAAAGGAGCAGCGCTTCGAGATAGGTAATAGTGCACTTGAAGTTGTAAAAGACTATGTCTACTTAGGGCAGGTAATAACCGCAGAGCCTAACCACGAGATTGAAGTAACTAGAAGAATAAGAATGGGGTGGAGTACATTCGGCAAACACTCTCAAATTATGACAGGTAGATTGCCACTATCTCTCAAGAGGAAGGTATATAACAGCTGTATCTTGCCGGTACTTAGCTACGAAGCAGAAACCTGGAGACTTACAAAGAGGGTTCAGCTTAAATTGAGGACGACGCAGCGAGCAATGGAAAGAAAAAATGGTAGGTGTAACCTTAAGAGACAAGAAGAGAGCAGAGTGGATTAGGGGACAAACGGGGGTTAAGGATATCATAGTTGAAATAAAGAAGAGGAAATGGACATGGGCCGGGCATGTAGCGCGTAGACAGGATAACCGCTGGTCATTAAGGGTAACTTAACTGGATTCCCAGAGAAGGGAAGCGGGTTAGGGGGAGACAGAAGGTTATGTGGGCAGACGAGATTAAGAAGTTTGCGGGTATGGCAGCAGCAAGCACAGGACCGGGTTAACTGGCGGAACACGGGAGAGGCCTTTGTCCTGCAGTGGACGTCATCAGGCTGATGATGATGATGATGATGATGACGATACAGAAGCACGGAAACTTGCGATGCACTATCAGTTTACGCACCATTATCATTTGTTATGAGATGCGACTGAGACAACATCAGCAGATGACGACGCTTATGTCACAGCGACAATTAGGTTGCAAGGCGCCTGTAGTGTTCGTATATGACTCTATTGTTCTATATAGTCATAAAATACCGAAGAGTGAAACAAAGCGAACTTATTTAGCGACACCAAAAAGAGAGAACTTCTGCGTAGCTCGAAGGGATCCCTCAATTTTTTTTTAAACGCTAAAATTTGAGGACTAAATGATTAATTGTGAGGTTATTCGAGGCAGCCTACAGCTTTCAACTGCCTTGTAAATCATACAAGCTATATTTTAAACATTAACCGTGGTGAAGAAAACAAAAGACTGGTTGTAAGAACACTACTGTCACTAAAATGCCACTGGAGTAGTTTTTTTATAGCTTTTGTTTGTTTTAAATCTTGGTCCGAGTTACAATGTGCATATGAAACAACTGTTTGGCATGAGGCGACTTACATTTCTCGCGACAGTCCTGACATTTTATAGCCGCCGAACGGGGTCTGGGGGCTGATTTCCATGAACGTGTTGATCCTATAAGAAGAATACATAGAAACATGACATTACACACCCATTTCAGCTCAGCAACACAAAGTAAGTAACATGAGAACCGACTTTTCAACTAATTAGGTTTTTCACATTAAATGAAGCCATGGCACTCATAGTAAGACAAGGACACAGAAAGTGCGCACGTTTTTTCGTGGTTTCTTTCTTATGAGAGCTTCAATGTCTGCCCGCCTGCCTGCAGTCCGTCCGTCCGTCCGTCTGTCCATCAATCCATCCAGTCATAGCATGAAAATCATGATATGTCATGAATGTCATGATTTATATTTCATGGTCCTGTAGCTCTTTCGGTGGTTTCATTCACATGGCATGTTGCTAAACTGGTATGATATGGCATGATTGCATGGCAAACACAAGCGGCAGCCCCTAATGAGAAAATCATGACATGCGTGTCATGTAACAACACGACTACATGCCACGCTCATGATGCGCTCGCGGCCATTTAGCTAGTGTGACATATACCAAATTTTGTATTACGGTACGTGAATGGATGACAAAGTTATGTGACTGGTGCAAACATGATGACCACGAGATGCGTATCATGTAACAACATGACTACATGCCACGCTCATAATGTGCTGGCGGCCGTTTCACTAGCTTCACTTATACCAAATTTGGTATTATGGGACGTGAATGGATGATGAAGGTATGATACTGGTACAAACATGATAAACATCAGATGCGTGTAATATAACAACATGACTACATGCTACACTCATGATGCGCTCGAAGCGGTTTCACTAGCTTCACATGTACCAAACTCGGAATTACGCGACGCGAACGGACGACATAGGTAAATGACACATCCAAACATGATAATCATGACGTGCGTGTCAGGCTTGATGTCGGGAAAGAAGTCGCATTAATATGAGTAATAACCCATTTTAGAACAGCGACAGAACAACCAAGTGTCACGCATTACAAACCGTGCACCGAGTGGGTTGTCGAATTTTTCAACCATTTACAAAACTACATCTTGTTACCCTATCAACTGTGGCGCAGACCCACTGTGGGAGATTGTGGGGGATTACAAAAGCTTCTGGCATAGTTCTTCCTCGTCGTCAGCCACAACACAAAAAAATGCAACCCGCATCTTCCCACGGGGGGAACTCGAGTAAATGCGCCGCACAATGGTGAGGGTATCTCGTGATTGTTGCCTAATTTGGTATGATTTCGGAATGCTTAAGTTGTTATTTAGTCTTTATTATTCCTATTTACCGAATGAAGTAAAAACATTGCCTTCAACGAGTGGTGGGACGCTGATGTCGGGTTGCGCCCCTCTACTGGCTGAAGGTACTGCTGCTTTCGTCGCATCTACTCAAGTCAAGCAAAGTTTCAAGTTAGGCGAAAGCCAAGTAAAGATGCCCTTGACTAAATTCCCAACGCACGCACATTGCCCGCGTTCGAGGGCGAGAAGCACCCCCACTGCGCATCCTGGCTTTCTGAATGCCTGGTGGTGTCTTATCCTTTAATAACTACTGGAGTGACACTTTAGCGGGTGTCTTCTAGGGCTGGCATGAGACGCGAGATGTGAGCATGCACAGTGCACATGGGTTTGCGGACACCGCCGAAGCACGACATTGTGTGACTAAAAATGCTTCACATTTCGAAAAATTGAATGAAGTTCCTTGCAAGTGTGCAGTGGGTACCACGGTTCTCCAAAGAACAACGAAAGATGGCACAGTGAATGGCTTCCTAATACACAATGATTTAAGGCGTAGTGGGTGCCTAACAATTATGCTTGCAGCAGCTACAAGAAGAGTGCTTAAAGAAGGCTCTTAAAGGCCGCTCTTCCAACTTTCGCTGTGACAGTGCTGCACGTTATTCCTAGTTATTTCCGTCCTAGTTACTTAAAGAGTACCTTTTAAGTTCCCATTTAGTTTTAAAAGAAAACGTGACGGCATCGCATTGGTGTCTCCAAGCCTGAAAGAAGAGCGCATCTTGGTCATTGCCTTTCTCGTTTCTCTTGATTTTTAACTTTAAAGCGTTCTATGCCCAGGTCCAACAAGATTTTACTGATATATTTCCGACACAGATATAGCATTTTTTCTTTGTGTCTTATATATCCTTTTGTATTTGCCTATTTCTTGCTTGTCCTACACTTTCTCGCTCTTTCTGTTCTTACCATCCTTCCTTGTCCTTGCTGTTTGCTTCTTTGCTTGTCAATTGACTTCATTCTCTCTTTTTTCATGTTCTCTCGCTATCCTTCTCATGTCTTTATCCAATTGATCTCTCGCTATTTTTATCTGCATCTTTGTCACTTTCTTTGGGCTTCTCTGTCTTCTTGGTAGATATGTCCTTATTTTGCTCCATTTTGCTCTTTATCTTGCTTTCTACTTCTTTCTTTCACTCTTTTCCATGCGTTCGTTTTTGTAGACACTCGCGCCTTGTGTACACGGTAGCCGGACTTGTACAATTCCTGTGGGGCATTCCCGTTTAAGTTTTCTGGTGACACTGGCCCGTGTGGGAATTGAGGCTAGCCCGCTGCCTTTGTGTGGGCTTTGCCGCCTTTTCTGCCATTCTCATGTCACGACATGACTCCCCTCCTCCGCTGTATGTCGTGCTGGGAGAGCGGAGTGACGTTTTACCCCTCTCGCCCGGTAGCAGTGTCGATTGTGGCGCCGCACGCAGGGTCTCCCGAGAGGTTTTGCGCGCGTGCGTCGGGAGCGGGTCAGATACTCTTCGGGACAGCTGACGGCGAGCCACGCAAACTTTTCCGTCCATCGACTCCCGTCGCTTGGGGCTCGTTGAACTTCGCTGACGGCGCCTCGCGCCCGAGGCGAACGTTCACCTTTTGTTGCCCTTCTGCGTACGCTCGACCGAAGGGCGGTACGGTGTCCTAGTGCATGGCCAAGCTACGCCGACTCGTCTCCCTCCGAAGCCAACGCGAGCGCTTTTGCCCTCGCTCGAGCAACCGGGCCTTGGTCCCGGTGTCTCCGTGAACCACCTTTATTACGGAGACGTGCTCGCGGCACCCTGTGTAGTACTTTTACGCCCCTGGAGTGGACAAGCCCATTTGCTTTCCAGCCGCGCCTTTGCAACGGGCTGTACTGCGTTTGGTGTTGCCACAGACAATAAAGTGTTGCGACCTTGAGCAGTATCGTGTTCTCGCCACGGCGACGGTTGACGCGTGCCCTGCAGCTCGCTAAGACTGGACTTACGCTAGTGGCCGTACTCCTTCGGAATACGTGTCACTACACTGGCGCCCAACGTGGTATCAAAAGCTCCAAGCTTTTGACTACTCTTAGCGAGTCAGTTCGCCTGCGCGATTCAGGCTCGTCGCAACATGCCTGCTTCGTGGCATGCCGCGTTGCACACAGAGGCCATCGCTTCTATCGACGGGCACTCTTCGGCACCCGTCGGTGTCGGCACTCTTTATTGCGGTAACGACACGAGGCTCCTAGCAGCTCCCTTTGGAGATGGCGCGTCGTTTCGGAATGGGCCTCTTGCCCTACCCGAACGGTACACACGAGCGCCTCTTACCGATGCTAATGCGCCCTTCGGCATGCATGGCAGTTTGTCGGCACAGCGCTCGTAGTCTGTTCCCTGCGGAATTGCCGGGGCGCAGGCTTTGGCCCTCGCCGACTTTTGCCCACCATTAGCTGTGCAATCGACACTTCGAACGCACGCTCAGCAGGCACCTGAATTGTCGATGGTAGCCGTGCCAAGTGCGCATTTTGTTCGACAACAGGCCAATCCCACAAGGAGCCTCTTTTGCTCTGGGAGTGGTGCGCAGGGCGGTGGTCCGTTTGAAACCGCCTCACTGATCCAGCTGAGCGACTGCTCACCTTCGCTCGACCGCGCCGCTAACGCATCAACAGTTTCCTACGAAGCCGGTGCGACGACACAGACGTTGCTTCAAAACGCCGTGCAGATGATCCAATCACTCTCGGGAGCTGTGCAAACGTTTTCGGCTGGTTCCAAAGCCCGTCACCCCGCTGTTACGTTGCCTTTGCCAACCTACAGCGGATACGGTGATCTGCTCACTGCCCGGAATCACCTTGGCTCTGTCCCGTTGAAGGTGTTGTTCCAGCTGCACTGACTGACATGGCGGCGAGATGGTATCGGCTTACCGGTTACCGTGCAGAAACCCTCGAGGAGTTTCGTGCGGGATTTTTGTGCGAATTCCTACCCACTGACTACGAAAGTAGGCTGCGGCGAGAGCTCCAGCTCCGTACACAAGCTCCTGACGAGTCTTTACATGAGTATGTACGTGCGATGGATGAACTTATTTTTATCGCTGAGCCCCGAGCCTCGAACGGGGAGCGTGTCGAAAGGGTGACATGGCATGCACATCCGACTTTTTCGGCATGCCTGCGCGGTGGCCGCTTCCGTGACTTGGAGGAGTTCGCCGCTGAAGCGAAGCGCATTCAAGGCGACCTTCTCCCATCGCGTGCCCATCGCCCGCCGCCGCCAGCCAGCGATGTCCTTGAGCCGCGCAGCGCTTGGAGAGGGGCCATGACCCTTCCCCAACGGCGACAGCCTCTCGGCGCCGCCTTTGCGGCTGCAACCGGCTGTGCGTGGGAGTTGAGCGATCGCGCTCTTGATCCCTTTACGCATGAAAGGCGGGCGGCCTGCGCTGCTCCACCTGAAACCTCCACACAGGGTCGCTTTCCGACCCAACGTAATGGGGGAGGTGCTGCTCGCAGAAACGTATCCTGCGATAACGTAGCGAGCCGATCACGACAGCTCGAAGCTGCTCCGTTTGGGAAAACAGACCGTGATGGAGTGCGCTGTTACCGCTGCCTTCAACGAGGGTACATAGCAAGGGAATGCACCGGATCCAGGCCTGCAGCGAGGCAGGGAAAGGGGTTTCGGGGTCGTTCGTGAATGCACAAGCGACCCAACCTTTGCTTCTTCCCTCTGCGTGCAGGGCAAGCACTTTTCTTGCTGATACACACGCGCCGTTCATTCCGGTCACCATTGTCGGCCGTGAATTTTCGGCTTTGCTGGACACGGGCGCTAGCGCC